AGATGCCATTATTGCTATGTAATCGGCAAACAAGGCTAGCATTGAATAGTTATTGGTTGGAACGTCACCTGTGTAAAGTAAGTATAAAGTAGATACGAGGACACTACCTTGTCGTACTTCGGCTGATATGTTTTCTCAACCGAAAATTCAAATACTTCGACAAAAAAACAGATGAGTATATTATAATTAGGTACACCAAATTATACAGTTAAAAATGCTCTATAAAATTAACGTACAAAACATGAAAACCGGTTTAGTTGATTTATAATGAACAAAATATTTTTTAAAACAATTGAAAATATTTAACAGTATCCAGAAATACTTTCTTAAAGTAAGAAATACTTTTCTTGTGAGAAAAATATTGTGTTGGTGTAACTCTATTAATGAGCTTCATAGGTAATAATCTATAGACTATAAGTATGAAATTAGTATAAAAATTAAAAACGTATAAGTTATAACCATAGTATAAAATAATAATATAATACATGTTGTTTAACCAAGCATGTTTAAAACTCATATAATAATATTTTATGAATTTATGTAATTTTTGATTTTACAAGTGGCTTATAAATTTGTAAACTATTGATTATAAAAAACTAAAGTTTTAATAATGACTAAAAAATTCCTTACCCTCAAATACACCAAATTTCTTTCTTAAAAAATCAAAATGAAACGGTATTATGTCTGAAAAATAAAATTTGAAATTAATTAATCAATATGTTAGGTATATGAAAGTTTTTGAGAAACTCTTATGTTGATGTTCTCAATTTTCTCATTATTATATTCCTTGTAAAAATTGATAGTTATTCATTAAAATATAAAAATGTCGATAATAACACCGACAATTATGATAAAAACATTAAAAAGTCAATTATGTTTAAAATTCAAAACTAAGATTATTAAAAATGTAATTCATGTTAAATTGTAATATGGCAGGTATGTATACAATTCAAAACAATAAAATCGTAAATTAAATAACTTACCCATATTTTTCATTCTCAATACATAAAAATTGTAGCCTTCGTGCTTTAATAAATAGGCTGTGAACATTAATATAATATAATGCCTATATTAAGTTAATGTATCAGTATTAGGTAGTGATGTCGTACGCGATCTACCAAACTTGTTTTCAAGTAGTGCGCGATCTACCCAAATCCACTAAAATAGTATTAATTTCCGTATTTTTTTTATAATATCTTACTTAAAATATAATAATGTCATAACCAATTACATAACTATTTATAAAAAAATTTTAATTTAATAATAATAATAATAATATCATAATTATATAAATTATTATGATAGGTTTTTATAAAATATCTTAAACTAAAAATGTTGTTTTCATATCTGAAAGAAAATCGTCAAATATTGTATCCAAGGCTGGATGAAGTGATCACCACCACTCTTCCACTCTTCTTTTAACTGCCTTTCGAGTAATGATGAAGCTCCCTTTACTTTTATACCGTATCTTTTCTTCATAATACGCCAAAGACCCTCGATTGACTGAGTATGTGCTCCTGTACTTGGATCAATGAAATTTAGGCTATGATTTACTGTTTTGTGAGTAAACCCGTGTTCATTTAATGTAGCTTATGCCTTCCACTGGTCACTGTGAATTATCGTTCCCTGTTCAACTTCTCTTTGAATAATTGGCAAAAGTGTTGCTCTATCACGTTTTTGAACTATGAAAAATCGGCGTTCCATGTGTCTGGACGTCAGGCTATCGTATATTTTATCTTATCGTATTAATTGAACTATAAAAGGGAAGTCATATAAACGTACAAATAAATATTCGTAAATTATCAAGATAATTTGGAAATTCGGAAATTCGGAATAACCGGTAGATCGCCTATTTGGGTAGATCGCGTAGGACATCACTACCCAGTATTATATAGGGATTAAAAGTTCTGAATTCCGAATATATTATGAGACAACTTTAGTAACTCTATAATCCTTATACTGTAGGTAGGTAGTAAACAATTTCTAAATCTTTCCATTCAGTTTAAATTCAACCTAGGTGATATTTTAAATAAGCAGTTTTTTAATATTTTTTTTGTTATCTTAATATTAAATTTACAGGTATACGTAAAAAGAAAGGAAAAATTATAAGAGGAATAAATTCAATCAAATGTTTTCCAAAGTTGATTGATATTCAATAAGATTTTGTGCTTTATGTAAATTGTACATCCCCTATATTGAATAATATACGTTATATCATTGATTATAAAATATACCATAGATTGATCACAGACATCACAAAAAATGGATGAGGCCGTTTGCCGTTATGATTTATGAAGCGCTGTCGTTGGGCATATATGTATGGTTAATTATAAGTAGCTAATGTATTAGTATAGTAGGTACTTATAATCAATGATTATATTGTATGATTATTGATAGACATACATAATGTATGTAATATAGATGTTTAAAATTAAGTAGAGATACACGGAAGATATTACAGATTTAATGCTTTAAAATATCTATACCTACTACAGATAAATAATAAATATAAAATAGCATACGTGATTTTAAATTTTTCACTCGATCTATGGTCATCTTTTTTACTAAAAATAATTTAAACAAGATACACAAAATATTATAAGTAACTGTCTGATACAAAACTTATTAAATAACCTAAAAATAAGTATCTTTTGTATATTTCTGGTGGAGTTGTTATTTTATGAGGTAGCTAAGTTCTGTATTTATTTCGTGTTTGGATGTCCACTCTGGATTATTAATATATGTGTATAATTTATACTTTTTCATTAATTTCTAAAAATATACTTACTTGGTGTAGCTAAAGTATATAGAACAATATATATTCAAAGTTCAAACATAATAAATTAATATTTTTTAATTTAATTCATAGTTTTAATTTGACACTAAAAATGATATAGTTTGTTCAAAAGAATAGGTCAGCAAAATGCACAGAAAATAGGAAATAAAATGATTTAATTTGTTTTATAAGTGAGGTTATATTTCCTCTACCTTTGTTCCTAGATACCAGGGCCTAAAATTGTGTGCAGTAGCTAATATTAAATGTGCAGTAGCAAATTTAAAAGTGTGCAGTACTTATTTTCGGCTTTGATAAATTTTTATTTGATGAATATTCAATATTGATTATTGAAAATTACTAATTAGCATATTGTATTACTTTAAAATTCTTAACACTAAAAATAATTCCGACTACACCATATTCTGGGTGGCTTATAATATAATAACTAATAAGTATATTATTTTTTTTTTTTTTTTTAGGCCTTTGAGACCATCTTGCCATAGAACAAATCCTTTCCCATTCTTCTCTATTCTCCGCTACTTCCTTCCAGTCCATGTGATCATATTCCGCTCCACCAGCACTTAGGAAATCTTTTTTAATTCCATCTTCCTAGCGTAGCCTTGGTCTACCCAGTGGTCTTTTTCTCTTTGGGTTTTCTTGGAGTACCCTTTGAACCATTGAATCTTGCTTTCTAACTGCGTGTCCTGCCCATTCCAACTTACTCCGTTTGATCTCGTTTATAATATTTGGTCTATTGAAAAGCTCCGTCAGTTCTTGATTATGTCTTTTTCTCCATCCTTGAAGCTCTTGATCATATATAGGTCCATATATTTTACGAAGTACCTTCCTCTCAAAAACTGCTAATCTTTCCTCCTCAGTCTTTCGTAACGTCCAACATTGTGAACCATACATGACTATTGGTCGTATGATTGTCAAATACAGCTGAGTTTTAACCTCTTTTGACAGGACTTTCGAGCTTAGTAGTTTGCCTAGTGCATAGAAGCATTTATTTCCCATTTTTATTCTTTGTTGAATTTCAATTTGACATTCATTCTTTTGTGTTACAATCGTGCCCAGGTATTTGAAATCTTCTACTTTTTTGAACTCGTACTGGCCAACTGTTATGGTTTCGGTTTCCTGAAGGTTATCTAGTTCCCTACTAACTTTCATGTACTGCGTTTTCTCTATGTTGAGATGTAGCCCTACCTTCTTTGCCGATTCTATTAACCTGCCGCATAAATCTACCACTTTTTGTTCATCTTCTCCTAGCAAGACTATATCGTCTGCATAGGCGAGCAGACTAAAGCAAGTTCTATCCATTCTTACTCCTTCATCTCTTCCAATATTTATATCTCGGATCACTTTTTCTAATACTAAATTAAAGAGTACTGGCGACAAGGCATCCCCCTGTCTAAGTCCGGTTCTTACCTCCACCATCCTCGATGTCGCGTTTCATACTTTGACTTTGACTTTAGTTTGTCTTATACTAGCTTCAACTAATTGTACTATTTTCCTTGGGAAATGGAAATTTTTCAGAATTTCGGTTATGCTAGTTCTATCTATACTGTCATACGCCTTTTGAAAATCAACGAAGATAACATGGAGTTCCTTATTATAATATTCCCAGCTTTTCTGGAATAACTGCCTGATTATAAATATCTGATCTGTCGTTGACCTATTTTGCCTGAATCCACATTGATAGTCCCCCCACCACTTGTTCGGCCAGAGGTTTGATTCTATCTAGGATGCAATATGATAATACCTTATATGTTGTATCTAGCAACGCTATTCCTCTATAGTTACTACAGACTTGCTTGTCGCCTTTTTTGTGTATTGGGCATATGCATGCTACTCCCCAATCTATCGGTAAAATGTCAGTCTCCCACACTTCTTTTATCAACAACTATATACTTTCTATCATGGAGCTGTCCGCATGCTTTAGAATTTCCCCTTGAAGGTCATCTTCCCCGGGTGACTTGTGGTTTTTGAGCCTTTTGATCTGTTGTTCGATTTCTTCCTTTAATGGGGGTGGGCACGGATCATCATTGCGTTCGTTGTGTCCATATGCAAATGTATCAACTGGTACTTCACAATTGAGTAGCTTTTCAAAATACTCTGCCCATTTCTCCATTATTTTTTCCTGATTCGTCACTAGGCTTCCATCGTCCTTTTTCAGAAATTTTTCTTGTCTTCTATATCCGCCTTTAAAACTATTTACCTTGTGTTATAGCTGCCGTTTATTGTGTGACCTGTAATCTTGTTCTGCCTCCCTTATTACATTTTGAACATACTTTCTCTTTTCACATCTAAAAATGTTATGAGCTTCTTTTCTTTTAACTCTAAAGATTCTTTCTTCTTCCTGATTGTTAGCATCATTTAACCATCTTTCTCTTGCTATTTTCCTTCTTTTCAGGGCTTCTTGGCATATAGCATTAAACCAGGGTTTCTTCGTTCTATGGGCTTTCCCTAAAACTTTCTCCGACACATTTCCAAGGGTATGTTTAATTATTTTCCATTGCTCATCTACTGTTTCGGGATTTGAGTTAAATTCTCGTGCCATTTTCTGTATGTTCTCTGGAAATTCTCTAGCTTTCCTACTATCCCTGAGTTTCTCTACATCATACCTGACAATTTCCGGTCTCATATTCCTACTCATTGTTTTTAGCTTAACCCTAAGGTTGCTAGCCACTAGGAAATGGTCTGAGTCGCAGTCAGCTCCTCTGTATGTTCTTACATCCGTTATGTTATTGGCAAATCTCTCATTTATTAATATATGATCTATTTGGTTTACGTGCCTACCATCAGGTGACACCCACGTCCCTTTATGTATGTTCTTATGCGGGAACATTGTACTCTTGACTTTAAGACCTTTCCCTATGGCCATATCCACAAGTTTTGTGCCATTGTCATTAGTCATGTCGTGTAAACTGTGGGTACCAATAGTTGGTCTATATGATCTCTCTTTCCCTATTTTGGCGTTCATGTCTCCTAAGTCCTAGTACAATTTTTATTTCGCTATTACTAATCCCTTCTAGTAGTTGTTCTATCTCAGTATAAAAATCTTCTTTTTCTTGTTGTGATTTGTCCTCCGTAGGTGCATGTACGTTAATGAATACGATATCGAACCATTTAGTCTCTATTTTTAGCAACGCCAGTCTTGGGTTAATTATTCCAAAATCTTTTATCGTTGGTACTATATTCTTACGTACCACAAAACCAACTCCATATTGTCCTCTTTCGTTACATCCCCCAAAAAGGATTGTCATATTGCCCATGTCTATACTTCCTGCTTCCTTCCATCTTATTTCCTGCAGAGCTACTACTCCTAGACCATATTTTTCTACTTCCTTAATCATACTTTGTGCAGCACCGGGTTTGTAAAGAGTTCGTACGTTCGAAGTTCCAAAATTAAGTTCCGTGTTTCCGTTTCCATGTCTTTTTCCATTAAATCTAGTCCAAGGCTTGTTCTTAGGATCCTGAACAAAGCATTTTTACGAGGCAGGGTTGTTAGCCCTGCTCTCAACCCCCAACCTGGAGGACCAGACTACCCAAACCACTCAGGGTACGGCTACTGCAGTGTACTGGAGGTACACTGAGCGATGGGAGCGCCACTTTCCCTACGAAATAATAAGTATATTAACCCAAGCTATTTAGTTTATTCATTTTAAAATGTTTAGTCATATATATTATCACCAATATTATTATAGGTATCAAGGAATTTAATAGAAGATTATCTTAGATTGTATTTATATTTTATTATAACTTCTTATTAACAAATATCAAAAACAATAATGCAATGAAGTTATAACACTTATATGTGGCATGTGCACTAGTAGGTCTATGTTCATTCTTTTAAAATATTTTGGTGTGGAATATAATGTGTGCAGTAGCAAAATATCGTAATTTTAGGCCCTGCTAGATATAATTGTATTTTGATATCTTAATATTTTATGAAGCGCAGTGATTAAAAGTTAAAACAGAATGGATATTCAGTTATTGTTCAGCAACAACAGCTGATTATCTATAAGCTTATATAGTACCTAGTTGATAAATAATTTTAACTTACTCTGAATTTGGTTGTATATATTATTGTTTAAATATACTATAAATGTGATTTTTAGTTTAGAACATAAGTAGTATTCATATTGCAAACATTTATCATAGTTAGTAAAAATCGTACTTACAATAATATTTTACTACATATGAAATATTTATAATAATTGTATTGTTTATTTATAAATATAACAAAACATTAATTAGGTAACATTGGTTTATAATTCAATACTTGATTACATATACCTACTACATAACTTGTTGTGTATTACCCTTGGATCATATACTATGGATGGAGCAACATCCTATTAAATCAATACAAAAAAAAAAGGTGCTTTGCTGTACAGTAGGTTACAAGTAGGTCACTGTATAATGGATGGTATTAAATTTGAATTCAATGATATAATATCATTGTATAAGAAAACCGATTCTGAGCGGAGACGGTATGTCAGTCTAGGTATAAGACAAATTATATACTTATCTATCGTATTAAAAAAAATTGACCTATTATAGGTACCTATAATAAATTCCAAATTAATCATATCACAATATCCATTAGGTACTTATAACGCGTTATACATCATCAACAAACCCTGATACTATCATAGATATATAATAGTGTACTTTAGAAATATCAAGTACCCACGAATAATATTATACAATCACAATGAAATGACTAAAATAGTTATTCTAGGTGTTTTTTATGAAATTTCATCCAAATTTGAACTTAAAATGACTTTAAAAATAAACTGTGCTTATGTATTTTTTAGATTTTTTGGAAACAGAATTAACTACTTACGTGGAATCTTGTTTTAAATTTTCAATCCTTAGATATAAAAGTTGAACATTTTATAAATTTTTAACTACAAAATAATTATTCAATTTTAAATTTGATAAATGTTGTCAAAATTCGATCTTTAAATGCTTATAAAAAAAAATTGTGCCTATGTATTTTAAATATTTTTCAACTGATATTTTCACAATAGATCAGGTGCCTTGTATTAAATGTTTACACTTTTTGGCCCAACAGATAAAACTTTATTGATATTCATAGAAAAAAAACTAAAAAAAATTGAAAAATTAAAATGTCCGTTAACAACTCCAAAAAGAGTCAAAATAATTTCAAAACTGTATGGTGTATAGGAAATGATAATATAAACATTCAGTGAAATTTTCATGTATCTACAGTTATTCGTTTTTGAATTACAACAAAATAAGGAAATCGCTACATGAGAAATCGAGTGAATATCCAATGTTGTAAAAATTTAAATTTCAAACGCTCATAAAAATTTAATTTGACTTTCTTATGAACATTTTATTTTGATAAAGGTAGGCAAACTTATAAGGAATCTTGTATTACATTTTAAAACCTTAGATTTAAAAAATAAAAATTTTTATGAATTTTTAACTCAAAATAATTTGCTAATTTTCGTTATTTTTTCATATTTTGTCAATTTATGAACTTTAAATGCTTAGAAAAAAAACTGTGACTAAGGATTTTTAATATTTTTCATCTGCCTTTGAAACAATATACTAGGAGCCTTCTTTTAAATTTTCAAGCTTTTTCAGCCAACAAATAAAATTCAATTGATATCTTTAGAAAAAAAACTAAAAAAAAAATGGAAAATGAAAATGTCCCTAAACAGTTCAAAATAAATCAAAATTATCGTGTATAGAAAATCCAAATATAAACAACCAGTGAAAATTTCAAGTGTCTACGGTCATTTGTTTTAAAGTTACACTAAAAAACCAAATTCAATTTTGTGAAAAATCGATTTTGAGGAAAAATTCCCGTTTTTCCTTAATTTTTCTTTTGTTAATCTTGTCGCTTGTGAAAACTATTGGGAATTTTAAATTTTGACCTCCCAAAGGTACCAACTAGATTCACTTTCCCATCGAACAAGTTACTGAAGTTGAAAATCGAAGCATTATTTCGACTACTAATCGTGTACACAGACACAAAAATTTAAAAAAAAAACACACATCATTGTAAAATCAATACATTCATCGTTCCACTCAGAATCTAAAATTATATTTTACCTGTACTACAAAAATAGTGTAATACTATTATTATATTATATTTAGATGGTCAAAACATTTTCCTTAGGTGGTTCTGCTAGTAGATAGTATCGATAGTAAATAAAAAGTAGATCAATTTTTTTTAACCGAGTTAATTTACTATTTTGTTTGATATCAAGTTTAAACTTACAGTTAAATTTATTATTTGTCAAAAATTAATTTCCAACTTAACGATATTGTGCTCACAAGATGAGTTAAATTGTTTTTACTAATTTGCCTATCTTGCTTATAGATTATTATTATTAGTAGTACTTAGTAGTAGTGTAATCTTTATACCTCTGGTTATAGTTTGTCGTAGAGGAACAGTATAATAACTAATAACACTGTAATTGTGCTAAGATGGGACAACAACAGCTCGTCGTCCGGTATCTTCGAGTGAAAAAATCTAAAACGTTCTTTAAAAAGAATCTAAACCGTTGCCGATTTCAGCGACGAGTCACTGAATTAGGTGGTCGATGTGCACAAGCGCAACGTGACTTCTTCCATATTTATCCACAGATACCTATTGTACCTACTACCTATGGATAATTATGCAAGGAGTTGCATTGCGCTTGTGCACATCGATCACCTAATTCGGTGACTCGTTATATCGGCAACAAAATTTTACGTTTTGGCTCCATCCATAGTATATGATCTAAGATATTACCTATCCTAAATTGTATAATATTTTGTTCATATAAGAAGGCTAGGTGATAACAATATGATCATTGGCATTTAAATACCAATAGCCAAAGTATATAAATCTTGACAATACATATCTAAAAAAAAAAATGTTCTATATTAAATTTGATTTATAAGAGAATTAATGATATATTTATTTTATATGATTTGAATTATGTAGTAGGTTATTGTAAAAATATGTATACCCATTGTGACTATACTCTTTTCAAAATAAGATCGTGACCAGGCGGCCGAGTTGTGCGCATGGGCGTGGCTTTGTTCCGTGGCAGCGCCCAACGTGTCGCCGTAGTGCGGACAGCGTTTGACCATATGTCTGACCGCCGCCCGACGAAAACTGGTTGCCGCCTGGTCACGGTCTTATTATTAATAGAGTATAGAACATAGAGTAAGAATAAGTAATAGATAGACACAACGATAGTGTTACAATTGTTTATTTCTTCTTAAAACTATGATATATTATATTATGTATTTGTGTATCTCAAAATCATATTGAAATACCTGTTTCTTCATGTCTCGTTAAATAATCATTAATTAACTCTTCAATTTTAGGTAGGTCTAAAAATAAATACGCATTAATCGCTTATGAAAATATTTATTAATTACTTTTTAGTTGTAACATAATTATGATAATAATATTTTTAACATTGGACATTTGGATTTCAATTTATTATTTAAGTTTAATGATGATATAGTGCCGCCACTCTAAGAACGCTACTCGTTCGCGCATCCAAATGACCGAGCTCCGCAGTTTCGTATAAAAGTTTCTCCCACTCTACGGCGGCGCCGTCGGTGGTAGTGGCAGCGACAGTAGCGATGGCAGCGACAGTGGCGGCGGCCAGAGTTGACGACGGCCAGCGTTCGGGAAGGTTTAGTGGTGGGAATACGCGAGATCGGATGAATTTTGGTCGCCGCCCAGTAGCGTTCTTACGATGGCTATACTAATCATACATTATTAGATTCCCTAACATAATGTGAATAAATATTACTTACAACTCGTGACTAGAAATTATTACAATAATCATATTAATTTAAGCTAAATTACTATATTAATGAGTTTAAACCTGTAATCAATATACCTTTGATTTCAAAATGAACCAATTAATC